GCAGGGAAAATGAATTTAATCCCCTAGACTGTATTAGCATCATCTTAAATGGACCCCAATTCTCCCCAAACAATGAAACCTTAAGGAACCTCCTAAACTCTCTAAGGAAAACACATCTCCCCACCTGCCCCACCCCAGTTGTTTGCTATGCTGGTGTCTGAAGAAAAGTCAAATTTGAGGAAAGTGAAATGTATGCGAAAGTCATTTTCAACCACAAACAACAGACAAATGCACATTTGGTATTGTCAGTAATTTTTTTTTTTTTTTTTTTTGGTTTTTCGAGACAGGGTTTCTCTGTGTAGCTTTGCGCCTTTTCCTGGAACTCACTTGGTAGCCCAGGCTGGCCTCGAACTCACAGAGATCCGCCTGGCTCTGCCTCCCGAGTGCTGGGATTAAAGGCGTGCGCCACCACCGCCCGGCGATATTGTCAGTAATTTTACAGGGCACTTCTCTTCAAGTGTTCATTGTGGTATTCTCTCTTCCCTCCCCCTCCCCCCCCCACGTTTTGATGAGCCTCTCTTTCCAAGTGGGAGTCTCTGGAATGCTGGCTAAGTAAGCATTTTCTCTTCTAACTGCTCCCACCTCTAAATCTTCCTCCATCAGAAGTAAATGTGGAATCAAGCAGACAGCTTGCTACTCTTTCCTATTTTAATCAAAGCATAAAAAGTCCATACTCTGAGCAGCACAATTTGTGGGACCTGCCCCAGTGTTTGGTTATTTTTGCTCTCCAACACCCTTTGAGATGGATTCTTCTTCCCTGCCTTAACACTGCAGAGTCCATAACTCTTCTATCACACGACCATATCAAAGACCCACAGGAACCGTAATGTCCAGCCCTTGGACACAAACGCAACTCTGACCTCTCACCATGCTCCGGTCTGGGGTCAGGGGAACTTCTTTTCTCTTTCTCCATTGTCTGCTGAGTTGCTGGCCAGTTTCTCACCCATCCAAGCTCAAAGCAGGAAGCTAGGACTGCACTGTCCTTTTCTCTGTGCATGCTCAGTGATACCCATCTTCTTTCCGGTGGCTCTTCATCACCTTCTCCACTCAAAACAGCTCCTGTGCCCTCCTCACTCTCCAGCTGGCTATCTCTCCTAGGTGGTCCCTCTTGGTCCTAGGAGATGGCCAAGCACCCCTTTCCTCACCAGGTTGATTCAGTTACCCAGGACACCTCATGAAGCACCTGTGCAGCTCAGTTCCTGCTCCCGTGAAGGCCCAGGCACTAGGCTTAGCATAGCGGAAGTACAACAGATCTCTCTGAAGATATCTCTTCAACAGCCTCTTCTCTCAACCCTTGTAGTATTATTCATCTTATATGTCTTGGTGGTGCTGGGGTGTAGCACAGGTTCCTACTTATGGTTGGCAAGTGCTCCATCACTGAGCTATGCCATCAATCCAGCACTTGTATTCATTGACTGACTCACTGACTCCCTCCCTCCCTCCCTTCCTCCTTCCTTCCCTCCTTCCCTCTGTGTGTGTGTGTGTGTGTGTGTGCATACATATGCATATATTCTGCAGGTGCTTCTGCATATGTATGTCTACATGTGTGGAGGCCAGCAGTCAATGTCACGTGTCTTCCTCTGTTCCTCTCCACCTTTATTTTTTGAGACCCGGTCTTTCATTGAGCCTGGAGCTCTCTGATTGAGCTGGACTGGCTCCTCAACGAATGTCAGGGATCCACCTGGCTCTGCCTCTACCCTGACCCAGAGAACTAGGGCTATAGGCGGGCCCCATTGCACCTAGCCTTTTCCCTGGATTCTGGGGATCCAAACTCAGGGCCTCATGTTGGCAAGGCAGGCAGGCACCTTGCCAACTGAGCCACCTCCCCAGCGCAACCCTCACATTCTTGAAGTGGCTGGTAGGTACACAGTTTACCAAAATGTCTTCAGATAGCGACCTTGAACTTTCTACTTGGCAGTTGAGCGCTTTCATTCAGAAGTTCTCAGAACTTGAAAGTGTGTGCCTTAGTCAGAAAGCTTACCCTGGTGCCCTTACTTTACCTACACTCACTTTTTTTTTTAATTGAGTGTTAATTTCCAATTATTTTTCTTCTTCTTTTCTAACAGTTGAATGTGAGCATTGGAAAATAAAATGCAGTACCCTCTAATCCTATGGGGGAACCCCTTTTCTGAACAGTCCTGACCACTGACCTTAGGAATGAAGCCACATCCTGCTGGTCAACTATCTCAGGACTGACTCAAGTGCTGGCCATGCCTCTTCTCTCCCAGGCTGATGTTGTCTGTTGGTCTCCAGGTCCTTATGTCCAGCCACCTTACTCCTGGTTCTTTGAAGTGGCCCCTATTCTCTAAATAGGTGCTGCTCAGAATGGAACATGGAGTGCAGGGGACCCTGGGCTTCTCCGATCCTAACACCACAAGGAGGGAGCAGGTGACAATGGTTATGTGCCTGGCTCTACTCTCAATTCTCCTGTCTAATGGAACCATGGACAAGTACCTCATTCCTCTGTGCTTCTGTCTCTTCATTTGCTAAATGGGCATGGTGATAATCCCATTCCCACCTCATGGGTTTGTTCCAGGTGTTGCAGTAAAAGATAACACTCCTAGCCGGGCGGTGGTGGCGCATGCCTTTAATCCCAGCACTCGGGAGGCAGAGCCAGGCGGATCTCTGTGAGTTCGAGGCCAGCCTGGACTACCAAGTGAGTTCCAGGAAAGGCGCAAAGCTACACAGAGAAACCCTGTCTCGAAAAACCAAAAAAAAAAAAAGATAACACTCCTATTATCCTGACATGTAACAAGCTCCATGCAAATGTGGGTGAGGAATGGCATGCCCTTTCCAAGGAAATCCAAGTCTCCTTGCTAGGCCTCACTTAGCTAGATTACGGAAACCCCAGGATGCATTCACATGAATGCAGCTCACCTTGGAGGCACTATCCCACCATCTCATCTCTTCCTATTCCCCTCCCCCTCTACACACACACACACACACACACACACACACACACACACCTCTTTGAGACAAGGGCTCACTGGCTGGCTCCAAACATATCCTCTTACTTCAGTTTCCCATACAATGGAATTTATAACCATGTGCCACTCATCTGGCTGCCCATGGTGAATGGCATACATGCATGTGTATGCATGCTTGTGTGGGGAGGGAAGAGATTGGCATCAGGCACCTTCCTCTATTCCTCTCCACCTTGCTTTCTGATACAGGATCTTCTCTCAAGTCTGAAGCTCATTGATTCAGAAAGACTAACTGACCAGCCAGCCCCAAGGACTCTCCTGTCTCCACCTCTGTAACACCAGGATTATGGCTACTACACCTAACATTTTTAAATGTGGGTGCTGGGGATCCAAATTCAGTTCTCATGCTTGTCTGCAAGCATTTTACTAACCGTCTGTGTGTGGTGCCCGGGAAACCAGGAGAAGTGTCAGATCCCCTACAACAGACGTTACGGACAGTGTGGGTGCCAGGAATTGACCCAGGCCCTCTGGAAGAGCAGCCAATGCTCTTAACCACCTAGACAGCTCCCCAGGCCCCTGTCCTCTGTTTTAAAACCGTCTCTGAACTTCAGCGCAGAGCTAGAGCTTGAACCTGACTGTGAGCCCGAAATTCTGGGATTATTATCTTTTTCAGATACGTTTCCCCTCAGATCTGTAGTTATTGCAACTTTAATCAGTGCCTCCCACCATCACATATTTCTGTCCTAGTAGCTGGCACCAAGGAGAAAGCACACATAAAGAGCCCTCCTCATTTAAATACTCCCCATACCCCATCCTTTGCTATAGCAGGAGACTGCTTTCCATGCCTCTGCAAAGCCAGGTGCACTTGTATATTGTCCATATATATATATGTATATCGTAATATATATATATATATATCTCGTATATACACACACACACATATATATACATACATACATAAAAACAGATACACACACATATATTTTAGGGGTCAGTGACTCCAATGTATCTGTAGGTTCTTTGATATAAAATGGAAACAACAGTCACCATGGCCTGAGGATTAAAGGAAACATATATGAGGAAGCACCTCAGCAAGTTACTGTCACCCTGCAGACCTTACAAATCAAAAAAAAAAAAAAAAAAAAAAAAAAAAAAAGGAAGAATTCAGAAGTGGATTCTGAGTGGTGAAATGTCCCAGCATCTGCCAGCCAACAGAAACCAAAAGAATGTGAAGATGATGTCATTTGCAAAGTAAAAAACGACCCTGGGTAAGCAGAGGCAGTTCAGCCCAGGGGCAGGCTTGGAGCAGCCAGGGCTAAGAAGGTAGTAACAGCAGGATACACAACAGAAATACATCCACAAGAACGCACATCAACTCTGGCTCTCACAATAAGTGCTGATGTCTTCTCTTCCCTTCTATTGAGTTTCATGATTTCAAAATGCTGCTTCCACCTACTAGGCTAGCATCATTACCCTAATGAGTCATAACTCACATCTGTAGAAGCTTGGAGATGGCACACCCCCATCCACAGTCCAGCTTGTCGGAAATGATCTCTGGGAATGCTTTCCTGGGTGGTCTTGAGCTGTCTTTTAGAAGAACTTGTTCTGGGAGGCGATGCTTCCATCTTTTGAAAAGTCTCCTGGCTCTATTCTCATGCCTCACACCTGTGCAAAGGCGACTCCAATATGCTTTCCCTGCTCCGGGGTGCCGGCCAGGGAAGCTTCAAGCAGTCCCTTTTGGGCTTCAAGACCTCCCCCAAGCAGTTTGAGCTGGCCTCTGCCTTCCCTCCCGAAGGAGCTTCTTATCCCTGACCCCACCCCCACGGCATCGACATCACCTCCCTGCTGTAACACACTGCAACAAATCCGACTGACAGTGCCTCCACCGTCCCTGGATCCTTGCAGCCCAGGCCATTCTTGTACCTGTTTTTGCTGCTGTACTCCAAGCCAGGAATCACAGCTTTAGTTTCCAGATCTCCCTCCGCCCCCACTGGTAACTGGTGGAATCAGGTTGGAAAAATGTACTTAGCTCTCTCATCTCATTTTTACCTGCGCGCTGGAAATACTGCTACTTACTTGCGGGAGGGGGCAGTTCTTAAGGATTAATTCGTGTGTGGCAGTTCCTCTGTCTTCCCTGGAGCTACAGAAGGGGCACCTTCTTCCAAGCTTCTTTTGCTCTCAAAACATTCCCGATTGCTTCATCGTTGCCAGATTAAATCGAGTACAATATCCGGTGCTCCATGTCATCTAAAGCGCTGTGGAAACCGAAGCTTCAGAACAGTTTTCTGTCGCACTTGGTCTCAGAAGGCCTTCCTCAGTTCACTACATAGAACAGGACAGAGAAGAACGCAGGAGGAAGTTGTTAATTGCGGTCTCACCAGTAAGGTGAATCAAGACCTGCTCCCTAGTCTGAACAAACCTGTCAACCGCAGGGTTAGTCCTGAAAAAAACAGATTCACTGCAGGGGGTGCGCATTTGGGGACCACGCCCTTGGTCTGGAGGCGCAGGTCTCCAGCCTCTGGGCTCTGTGGATGTGATGCGCTACCCGGGGCTGCAGACCCAGCAGCGGGAAAGTTTCTCACCTGCGGGAGAGGGTGTAGCCAGGTCGTGGTGCCCAGTCCGCCCACCGAATGCTCAGCTTAGCACTAGGAGCTGTATCCAGTGTTTCCTGACCCACTCGAGCCCAAAGGGCTGTCCTCAGCAGCAGGGCAGGCTTCGAACTTGGGAGCCCTTCGGGAGGCCCTCTAGCTGCCCTCGGTACGGTCCAAACCCGAATGGCACTTCCCCGCCCTCCCCATCTTCACCCACTCCGATCTCGATCCCGGGGCTTACTGAAAGGCACCCAGACCCCAGGCTAGCCCCGCGCCCCGTCCTGCCCGGGTTACCGCAGGCTCTGCAGCGTCCAGCTCTTCCAGTGCCCAAGCCTCACCACCGCCGCTGGCCGGAGCTGTGCGAGTCGCTCACTGCGCCGCGGTGCGGTGGAGACGCGCGCTCGCGACCTAGCGGCGGAGGCGGCAGCGAGGCTGGGGCTGATCTCCCGAAATGCTGAGGACTCCGTTGAGTGTGGGTAAAAACCTGCACTGAGCAAAGGAAAGAGAAGATGTCCAGGGATACTTTGCCCTCTCCAGCTCTGTGGTGGGTCTCTTAGGCCAACTTTGGGTACCAGGCTCTCGTGAGCTGAACAATAGGAAAGCCTCATAAACAGGCTTGCCGGTTATTCTCAGCCTTGGGTTCAAGAGTTCAGCGAGACTAGACTCCTCCATAACGCATTGCTTAAGTTACTATCTCCGTTTTTGCGTGCCTCCTACAAGCTAAAGGTACAGATGCCAAGGGGCATCAGACATCCTCCAGACTGATCCTGAAGAGTTACCGGTGGACTGGGAGCAGGCTCCAGCCAGGAGCCAGGACTCCCTTCTCTATGCGTTTGTATTCGGTCCTCTGATCTGTATCGGGTGCCAGACACCAACTTTGCAGAGCTAGTAAAGGGACAGACAATAAACTTTACCAGTAAATACAACTCAGGGTATGTGAATAAAGTGTTGTGGACAAAAATACAAAGCAGAAAATAGGGCAATGGGTGTGGGGTGGGGGCTGGGGTCAGAGCTGGCCTTACTGAGCAACAAGGAGGTGAGAACAACCAGGCTTGTCTCGGGAAAGAACACTGGCTGTGAGCCAGGCACTAAGCTGTCCCTTAGCATATACCTATTTTTGGCCAACCCCAAGTGCCACATGAGAAAGGTCACATGGCCATGTTGGTTTTACAGATAAGAAAGTTTAAGCTGGGTGGTGGTGGTGGTGCACGCCTTTAATACCAGGACTCAGGAGACAGAGGCAGGGGAATCTCTGAGTTCAAGGCCAGCCTGGTCTACAGAGCAAGTTCCAGGACAGCCAGGGCTACACAGAGAAACCCTGGAGGGAGGGAGGGAGGGAGGCAGGGAGGCAGGGAGGCAGGGAGGGAGGAAGAATTGCATAGGAAGGTGTGCTGGCAGTGGTTTAAGTCAACATGATGGTGCCAGAAAAGGATTCCTGGAAATGATATCTGATTCATGGATTAGAAAACAAAGTCGTTTCATTATCCCATGTAAAATGAGATACTTTGAAAACCATTTTTTTTTATAGCATCTCTGTGTGTTTTCCTGGCTCATTAGCAAGCAGCTTGATTCTAAATGATACAATATAACGTCTATGGCGAGAACTGCCAGTGGTTCCCAAGACTGTGCATTGGCTCATTCCCTTTGTAGAGCTCTGTGGGGATGTGATCCATCACCCATGCCATGGCACCTCTGCCACTCTCAGGGCCTGGTGGACACTGCAAAGAGCAGCAGCAGAACGGCCACTGCTGAGTGCCATCTACGGAACAAGCCAAGATCCACCTTAGCTGTGGACAGCAGGGGCTCTTTTACCTAGGTAGAGAGCCAGAGGTTCATAAGATAGCCTAGAAACACTGTGCTTGGGAGCAAAGGCAGGTGGCTAGACTGTAGCCTCCCAGAAAGCAACAACATTAGGAGGATAATGAAGCTCACATGTCCCTCTCAGGTACCTGTCCCTGTCAGCACACACATCCTCCAGAGTCACTAAGACCTTTCTACCTTTCCCTCTAGATCCATCACTTCTCCTAGAGAACCTCCACTGTCCTGCTGCAAACTCCTCTCTGCAGAAGTCAAAGCACAGGCCTGTGCATGTTCCTGTGTGACTGCAGTTTCACGCCTGGCACAGTGACTATGTGGAAGTGAGGGGACAGCCTCGGGCATCTGACCTTACCTTCTACATTGTCTAAAACAGCATCTTTCATGGCTTACTGGTCTAGGGACCCGCACTGCATCCTGTCTTACTGTAGAGCAGCATCATAGACACATGCTGCTGGATCCGAATTCAGGTCCCCAGGCTTGCACAACAAGCACTTTACCTGGAGCCCTCTCCCTAGCACTGAACTCTTAACCTAAAATTGGAAACCTCTCTATAGCACATTTCCCTTTCTACTTTAGAGTTTGGCAGGTTTACCCTAACCCCTCCCAGAGGCCCGTTCCACAGTTTCTCTACAAGATCACATTTTGCATCCAGTGGGCATTTAAGGGGCATATTTTTATTACAGGTAATAAAAGGATGCAGATCCATTGTCTTTTAATTTTGTCCTCTCCAAAAATAACTACTGACAAGGCAAACTTACATGTATCTATAGATGTTGTCCATTAATAAACATGGACATCAGTTCGTCTTAAGGTGAATTCTGTTTGTCCCATTCTGAGATTGGAAAACTCAGGCCTGAGGGTCATTTCCCTAAGGTCACAATTCTAGTCAGTGGCACAGCTGGGATTCACACTCAAAATGCAGAAATTATCTTCATCAGGAACTCATACTTCCTCTCCTTCAATCATTCATTCGCTTGTTCTTTCTGCAGATATTTACAATGATTTGCCTCAGCTCTGTAACAGCTGCTGGGAAAATTGCAATGATTAACGCATAGATCTTACCCTCGAAAATCTAATAAAAGAGAAAGATGAACAATGAAGTAATCAAAACCCAGCATTCCGAACTTCACAGAAGAGGCTCATGGAGAGACAGCCTAAAGGAACCCTTTGTTTCAGCCCCAGTGCTTAGAAAGGGAGCTGACAGCAAAGACGACAGAATCGTAGCAGTCTGCTGTGGTGACGCTGGGGGAAATTGCACAGAAGCCAGAGGAAAGCATTTGCAAAAGCACAGAGGCGGGATCAGTAAGATGAAGTGGAAGGCTGGCTTTCATTATTGGGGATGGGCCAGGGGTGGGACATAGGGGTGGAGGGCAGGGGATGTGCAGTTCTTGAGATAAACACCAGATGAACCTGGCAAGGCCAGCAGGGCCAGATCACAGAGCTCTATGGAATACTTTCAGGGACTACATTGTCTTTGAACATGTATGAGAAGTCATTATATCTGTGTGTCTTAGTCAGTGTTCTATTGCCGTGCAGAGACACATGACCACAGCAACTCTTATAAAGAAAAGCCTTTAAGTGAGACTGGCTTACAGTTCAGAGATTTAGTCCTTTATCATCACGGCAGGAGGCATGGCAGTATACAGGCAGACATGGTCCTGGAGATGTCGCTTACAGTTCAGAGATTTAGTCCTTTATCATCACGGCAGGAGGCATGGCAGTATACAGGCAGACATGGTCCTGGAGATGTCGCTGAGAGCTCTACATCTGGATCAGCAGGCAGTAGGAAGAGAATTGCCACACTGGGCCTGGCTTGAGAATCTGAAACCTCAAAGCCTGCCCCCAGTGACACACTTCCTCCAACCTACTCCAACAAGGCCACACCTTCTAATAGTGCCACTCCCTGTGGGCCTGTGGGAGCCATTTTTATTCAGACCACCACACTGTGCACGTCACCTTCTCAGAGGAGAAGTTCCATGGCTTTAGTCAAATTCTCAAAAAGGGACATCAGCTTCCTTTCTCGAACCTGGTCTGTGGACCAAATAATTGCACCATCAGTCAGAATACACAGAACCCTGTTAAATTTCAAACCCAGGACAAGTGGCTGAGGCGCCTATTTAATATATCCATCAGTCCCTATCTGTTATAGGGTGTGGCTGGCATACCCTGCCCTCTACCCTGAACTCTCCAGCCCAGGGGCTGGGCCACCCTTCTCCCAGAGACCCTTCTCTATATAATCCAGACATTTTGATTACCCACCCGCTTTTGGACCTTTGGCCTCCTGGCTGCTGCACCTGGTTTCCCCATCCCCTTTCTCCTCTCTCTCCTCCCCTCCTATCCCCACATGACCCATCTCAGTCTGGTCATGTCCACTCCAGAGTCTCCCAGATGTCGCTGCCTCTGACTATGTTCTCCCTTTTATCTACAATGAACTTTCTCCTCTACCATACCTAGAAGCAGTTACATCCTTTCCTTTCCTTTCCTTTCCTTTCCTTTCCTTTCCTTTCCTTTCCTTTCCTTTCCTTTCCTTTCCTTTCCTTTCCTTTCCTTTCCTTTCCTTTCTATTTCTTTTTTTTTTTTTTTTTCAGTCAGACACCTGGATTTTGGAAGGGTACAAGGCTCGGCCCTGCCAGATGCCTCCAAACATGAAGTGGTAGCGCCATCCCTGGACAAGAATGGTCGGACCCTCCAGCACCTCACCGGTGCTTCCTAAGTGGGGGCAGAGGGTGCTGCTAGCTGTCTGGCAGACCTAGAGTTATGGAGCTGCTAGCTGAGAACATGTCACGGAAAGGAAGCAAGAAGTAGGACCAGAGTTTGCTGAGACACTGAGCCTTCATCTGACTTCACTAACTGTCCTGGTCCCCAGTACTTCAGAGTATTTGGAAATGGGCCCTTTAAAGAGGCTATTAAGTTAAACGAGGTCATGTTGGGTAAGTCTTAATCTATACGACCAGTGTTCTCACGGGGAGAGGAAATTAATACACAGAGAAACAGTGGGTGGATGTGAGCAGAGAAGGGTGACCATGTGACAAGAAGAGAGTGGCCATCTGCAAGTCAAAAAGACAGATCTGAAACATGTCTGTGGCCCTCTGAGGAAATGTCCAGTCTCTGTGAGGAGATGCTTTTCTATTATTAAAGTTACCCAGACTGTGGTGTTTTGTTATGGTCAGATCCAGTAGACCAATGGACAGAGCACCAATTCAAAACTCACAGATAATGTACTTATGGAACTTAAGGTGACAGGCAAATAGCTCTAAATCTCAAGGGATTGACCTGTTTGAGCGTAGAGTCCTCTACCACCACACTGCTCATCTGCCCCTGAAAGCTGGTTGTAGGAATATGGGAATGGAAATCTGAATACAACTTGGGATGCAG